TTTATCGATAATATATATATATACATATATATATAACACATAAAAAATTATATTTTGACATATCGTATGAAAACTGTTTGTTTACGACTTGCAAGTTTGTCGCTAAACGATGGTGTAATTTTGTATATATTTTATCATACGGTTTATGACACACATTTGATTTTGCCTACCAGTGTTAGTAATTAAATTATACAATAGCTCGTGCAATGGCTCGTTGGAGTAATCAATAGCACCACAATAGCACTACTCCGTGCTACTTCCAAATTAATGGACCATCGCTTCATTAATATAACCGCGTTATTATTTCTATTATCGATCAGATCGGATATGGTTAATAAATGTGCAATGCGAACTGTTTTAGATATGAAGCAAATTGGTCGATGTCGAATTAAAAAAAAATAACATACGTATAAATTTAACTTTATAACATCGATAATTTCTCTACCGGCAACTAGAGAGCTTTAATTACGTAATCAATTCCATCGACAGATTGTTTTTTTTTTATGGAACGTTTTCAGCGCGCTAATTATTTGAATTTTATAAAAATTTGTAAAATTGATCAACAATTTGGCAAACACTTTGCCTATATAATAAAGTATTATATATAATAAAGAGTTTGTACGTACACACACACACGCGTCCGATAGAATAATAAATATATATTTATTATATTAAATTTTATAATAAAGCAAAAATGGATTATTAGCAGCTAAAGGATATAAAATTGCATACAACATTCTCGCAAGTTATTATATCATATCTCCAGAAATAACTCGGATTCGATAACTGGAATCGATCCAGTCGCAATTTTTATTCGCATCGAGCCTTTTAGTCGCGGTACTGACGTTCCACTGGCCGATATCCTTCGCGATATCTCGACATCCTTCGCGAACATTCGCATCTCACGGGTTCGGGATTTCCGGCGGAAATCGAGTTTATCTACCTACTTACGTACAAAGATGAGAATCGTGTGGATATTGTTGAGGAAAAGATCGAAAGGGGTAAGAGGAGATAGGGAGAGAAAGAGGAGAGAGAGAGAGGAAATAGACGAAAACTTGTGTGTGTATGTATTTGTGCACAGAGGACGCCAAATCGTCCTGGGAGATGCGAGAGGTTGCCGTATGATGAAATTGGAGGTGAAGTTGTATGAGTTTTACTCCCATTGGGGCAGTGATCCGTTTTCCTTCTCTCCTGATTACTTCTCTCTCTCTCTCTCTCTCTCTCTGTTTTCACTTCGATTACTCGATCGTGTTTGCATTGTATGTTCGCCAAGAGGATTGCCAACAGCTTAAGGCGTCATCGGACGCTTTATGTTGTAACGGCAATAATCGCGACCGATTATGTCCTCGTGCGGGATCTCCTCCTCCAAGGGCTCCATACCTTCTGCGGCCAGGTTGTCGCGAATCTGCAAACACACATTTACGAGACATATACGGCGCGGCATAAATATGAATTATCGACTGTTAAAGCGCAGCTTTACAGGTTTGATTTATACGTTTAAACCTTTTGCTCGACAACACACGCCGTCGAATCACCTCCGCGATCGAGCGGGTTTCGCGGAACAATACCACCAATCATAGTTTAGTCACCGATCACTCACTGTAATTTGCGCGCGTTATACATACAACCCGTTCACCCCGTTCACAAATCGATCGATGGTTGACGATGATTAAAAGTGCTTTTGTCTAGTAAATAAATTCAGGTTGGTTATATTGACGTCGATAAATCAACATATAGCAACAAGCTGCGGAAAATAAAATAAAACTCTAAAAAAAAGTGATTTTGATATATATATAGAGAAATTGAATCACCCGTATCAGACATATTTATCAAACGCTGCTCGCGAGAGAAAGAAAACCAATCGTCTCGGTTTTCTTTTTTTCATTTTTTTTTTGCGATTTGCGCATGCAACCAAAAAGGTCGGTCGAATTTTGACTCCTCGCGCCGAGCTTCTGACATTTTGCGAGGTGCGAGTGCGAGGCGATGATGGAAGACCCGTGCGCGGCCGCAAAATTTTTCCGGAGGAAAAATCGCGCGATTGCTCCGTGTTGTAGAAAAGGCGGCGGTGAAATAAAAAGGACGAAGTGCACGCGCGCGCGCGCCTCCTGGGATGGGCAGCGATGAAAAGCAAAGACGAAGAGCGCGGGGCAAAAAAAAAAAAAAAAAAAAAAAAAAAAAAAAAATCGACGGCGCGCGCGTATTTCATACACGGCATGCACGGCGCACCATCAATTTTCGGTGAAGCCCATTAACCTACCGCGGGGGTTTTACCCCCCCCTTCCGAAAACGAAGCTTTCGACGGCTGACGAACGCGTCGGCGATGCTCGCGACACACGCCGCTCTTCGTCCCGTGATGGCAAAAAACAAAACAAAAAAAAACGTCGCGATGTGCACACAGTGCGCGTCGTCTCTCAGACAAGTCGCTGTATCCCGAAAAGAGATTAACATTTATGATCGTATTCGTCGACGGCAATTTATATACGTGTCAATTGCAAAATGAGATTGATGACGTCTAGTTGCATAGCGTCGAAAAATAAATTTCTCTTTGAATTTTGTTCTGATTTTCCGTGATATTTTCCGTGTGTGCGTCAGATATATATATCTTCATCTCTTGTAACAGACAGCTAATTACATTTCTTCCACGCTTTGAAACATTTGATTTAATTTTAATTTAATTTGTTTTTTATTTTTTATTTTCATACAAATTTTATATTCATACGCGATATTATATTCTCTTTCTGTCGATTTCAGTGGATTATAAGAACACCGGAGTAAGGTAATTTTATTTGTATTTTTTTTAAATTCATTCCTTCATGCACACAAAGTTTTTCAATTAAATTATATTAATATACAGTATTAGTGTATATTAATATTTAATTTTCAATTAAACGAGTTCTAGTCTGAGAAGGTGGCAACACAAAGATACGTAAAATTCGAATGAAATGCCATTTAAAAGCTTATTACGTTATTTGGTTGTTTGCGTAATAATTGCGGTTAACGTTTTGGGATTATTATTTTTTATTCCATTTTTTTTTTTTTTTTCCGTAGATTCTAGTCATAATTTGCGAAATGAGCGCGTTTCTGAGCGTTTATACGAGTCATCTTCCGTGTAACATTCTCCCACAACGCGTGAATTTAACGTGAACGTTGGGTGAAGTTTCATTTTGTCGTGTCCCGCTAGATTTCCAATTAAACGAATACAAAGAGCGATAGAAGCGCGCATCTCCGGCAACAACAGAGAAAGGAAATGAGTGGGCGATGTTATAGAAGGACGTCGACGGTCTAATCAAATCCTTTATTGTGTCGCTTTCGCGCCTCGGGCGCCGTAACGTTACGGCACTTGCGGTATAAACCGCCAAGCCGGCAATACTGACGTCTCATAGGTGTAATGGTCGTCGTTTCTTCGTCGTCAACTCTTTCTATATATACACACTGTGCTTTAAAAATTGAAATTTTTTCTTCGAAATATCAAGCGCTCGCGCTTGAAGAATCTACCCCGACCGAGAGATTAAATGTTAATGGACGTTGAAAGGGTCTTCTTTCACAAACGCACCGGACCGGACTTGTTACATGTTAATCAGTCTCATTTGAACCGAGTGCGCGAAACTGAAAATTTATAGAAAAATTTTTCATTTAAAAATTGTGAACATAAAAAATGTAGAATTCCGTTTTCATCTGGAATTCTGTTTGCGCGCTCTCAGAATTCGCGAAATTTAATTGCGCAAATAAATATATACTTATAAAAAAAACAAAACTCACAAGAATTATATCACATCGATATTCTTGCGTGACGTTTATTCAGTCTCTCTGTCTGTCTTAAAACGAGGCAACTCGGTTTATTGCAATTTTCTCAAGACACGAAGGTGAGAAAGAAAATGAAAAGGGGGGGGGGGAAGGGTGCTGCTCTCGCTTGCCATTAGCGCGTTTCAAAGTGGCGGAGCGATTTACATAACGCGGGTGTGTACGACACTGATTACATTACGCTTCAGGAATTTCCCCACACAACCACCACTACCCTAGTAGTACGACTCCTTGCGGCGAACGTTTGGCGCGCGGGAAGGTGGCCGCGGTCTCACGCGAAACAGTATCAAAGTTCCTTCGGATTCCTCGCTTCCTCCGTGGGAGAGGAACAATAGCAGAATTGAATTTCAAGGTAACGTAATCGCCACCATTTTGTCCGCCGCACGCCGTGTGCCGTAGGCACGGCCATTATTTCAGCAATTACGACGTTTCTCGCCTGCCTCGTGTAACCGACGGTGGTGGTGGTGGTGGTGGTGGCGGTGGTGCGGTGGAAAACGGCGATGAGATGGGTTGGAATTGCTCAAAGGATTATTTGCCTTTCGCTCAACCTTGTCGACTTTACTCTCGCGACGAGAAAAGCGAAGCGCGCACGACGTGTGTGTGTGTGTGTGTGCGCGCGCGCGCGCGTGTGTATGTGTCTCACAGGTAAGAAGACACCGACGAGTTCTATTCGCCGTATTTGCACATTGAGAATTAATGGCAACTCCCGTCGTCTCTCACTCGGAAGAAACTGGCGTTCATAAGAGCGCGCGGAATTTTCAGCGTGACTCGCGCGCGCTGCAAATTATCTCTCGAAAACGTGACAAGTCACATTTTCATATTCGATAATCAAATAAGATATCTCGGGAGACTAGAGAACATCGCACACGTCAGATTAAAATCGGAATAATTTAAGATACGGCGTACTTACACGACGCGCGGGACTCGGTCCTTATTTAGGCTTCCATTGTGTTTTTCCAAGGATGAATTTCGTAGGTTTTTTCGACTAGGCGGCGGCGACGACTTCGCATTCTTCGAAGCCGTAGTTTTTCGCGACACGCGGTGGTAAATCAGCGAGAGAATTCATAGAATAATTTTAATACCCTCGGTTATAGGTGCCCGTGGCCCGTAGCGCGGTTCAACAAGCGCGCGCGATCGCGCTGAAATCTTTGTTCTTACGGAAGCCGGCGGCGCGCCGGAGAAAATGCGCCCAGGTGAACGCGAAAATTTACGCTCTTTCACGCGTAACTCACCACCCTTCTCCCCCCCCCCCAACCCGTCGTCGGAACGTTTATTACGTTACAATCCGAATGTCAAATGTGTGTGCGCGCGCGCGCACACACATTCTTCTCTAAATATAATAAACGACTCTTGCTTCGGACAAATAACCGCGCGGTTCCGTTGACCGCACCGCGCCGCAATTAAATTATCACACAGTAATTTCAACAACGGCCATTCTGAGCGTCCTCAAACATCCGGAACATCCGGCGCGCATAATTTCTCACATCATTCCTGTCGGGAGGCGTGTACCACGCGCGCGCGCGCGCGCGTAATATCCGGACTGAAACATTTTCAGGCGCCGGCGGAATTCTCCGTAGGGGGACGGACGATCTGCATTCGACTGCTGCCGCCGCCGCTGCTGCACGCGAAACGCAGCTATTTAACGTTGAAATATACTAGACATTAATCGAGTGGCCAAAGTGTAGAAGCGTCGATTAAATTGGAGAAAATTTAATTTCGATTTCGGGTTAATGAACATTCGAACAGGCGCGTATATATATATATACAGCACGACGAGTGTGTTGTGTTTCAACAATACGGTTTTATTTGCGAACGTAACGCGCAACACTGATAACGCAATAATATCAAATGTTTTGTTTTTCGATTGTTGTTTTGCGTTCGCAAATTATTAATTATAAAATTAAGATAAACAAACGGATGGGAGGGAGAAAAAAAAAACACGCGACCGATTATTTCGATTTCGATCCTCGATACTGTACGCGAGCGAGGATACAACTTTAATCCGCAACACGCTGTTGCTATTTACTCTCGCGCGTTATTTATTACATTTTGTTGTATTATTCGATGAGATGACAAATTAAAAAAAAAAAAAAAAAAAAAAAAAAAAAACGTCAGAGAGTTATTTTTTTTTTTTTTTTTTATTTTGAGAGAGCAATTATTGTGTAATAATTTCCGTGTCTCTTGGTAAGGAAAACGCAGTCCGAGCGTTGGGTTTTAATTAAAGCGCCGACGTGCGCGGGNACACGCGACCGATTATTTCGATTTCGATCCTCGATACTGTACGCGAGCGAGGATACAACTTTAATCCGCAACACGCTGTTGCTATTTACTCTCGCACGTGATTTATTACATGTTGTTGTATTATTCGATGAGATGACAAATAAAAAAAAAAAAAAAAAAAAAAAAACAAAAACGTCATTAATTTATTTTTTGTTTCTTTTGTTAAACCGAGAGAGCAATTATTGTGTAATAATTTCCGTGTCTCTTGGTAAGGAAAACGCAGTCCGAGCGTTGGGTTTTAATTAAAGCGCCGACGTGCGCGGGAGTAACGACTTTTCAGATGCGTATGAGACTAACACTTCAACGTCCGAAAAGCTTATCTTTCGCGCGAAGTGTACTTATGAAACGTCAGTGTGTGAGCGATGCCGAGCGATACTTCAGAGCCGTTTAATACACACGTCATATGTAGTTGCCGGTTATATGTTATATGAAAGCGCATGCGAGCGAGCGAGCGAGCGAGCGAGCGAGTGAGTAAAGTAGTAAATGCGCCTCTTTCTTCCCATTGGAGACGTGGGTTAGTAGTGAATCGTGCCAGCTGGTTCTACTACGACTGGCAGGGCTCCAAGAGAGCAAAAATCCGGCTTCTCTCTCCTCCCCCGCCCCCTCCCCCTGTTCGACGATGCAACGCGCGCGCGGCCGTGCCGTGCCCGGCCGGATGCATGATTTGTGTGCTTTATTAAATCCGATATTGGTCGACTCGGCTAACCCCCCGAACCAGGCCATCGGTTATTTCGCAGCGGAAAAAAACGATCGCCCTTCTTTCTCTCAATCGCGTCCTCCTCCGTCTTCTTCTTTCCGGGTTGAAGTCCGAACTTCTTCATTTTTTTTTGTTTCTTCGTCGAACGGAATTTAAAGAAAGGATTCTTGTATTCTGCTTGTATTCTCCCTTCTCCTATCTCTCTCGCTCAAAAAGAGTAAAAATAATTTACCTGCTCCACCTCCTTGAACACCCGTATGAGATTCAAACCAGCCAGTTTCTGAATGTCTCTCTCCGACCAGCCACGCGCTAGCAATTCCGCGAAGAGCTCCGGATATTTGCTGACGTCCTCCAGACCCGTTGGCGTCCTGGAGGAGAAGAGAATTTTTACAATTAGACTCGATCGTTTTTTTATCGATAAGAACTGTGAAAATCATTGGAAAAGAAAAATGAATTTCTTGATCTCGCAACAATACGGATGTGCGTTGTCGCGGCAACGACGAGCTTAGCGAGTATTAAGAGGGTACTGGAGCCCGGCCTGTAAACTGGATAGAAACCTGTAAACCGTTTCGACGTTTTAAAAACCAAAATTTCTCTAATTTTTAAGTTTCTTTACTGGATTACATAAAAAATGCTTCTATAGAAGCAAATACATATAAACAACTATTTGGTGCTTTTGGAAATAGATATACAGGGTGTCCCAGAATTGCCGTACAATCTCTCGTAGGCAGTTAGAAGGAGTAAAACTGAGTCGAAAAGTCCTGAACTATTTTTTTCTATTATTTATAATAAAGGAGTAATTATTGAGTAAATCAGGCCAATCAGCGCAGATCTTTAGCCAGGCGCACGTCAGTGAGCCGCGCGCCTGGTGTGTGTGAGCGCTCACTGACGTGTGCCTGGCTAAAGGTTTGCGCTGATTGGCTTGATTTACTCAATAATTACTCCTTTATTATAAATAATAGAAAAAAATAGTTCAGAACTTTTCGACTCAGTTTTACTCCTTCTAACTGCCTACGAGAGATTGTACGGCAATTCTGGGACACCCTGTATAATGCCTTTTGAAACTTTTTTTCATTCATAATGATAGCATATGATAACCCTATACTGTCATCACACTAAGACGTTGTTCTCATCAATTAGATAGTCATACCAGAATCTGAATGTGTCATTAGATTCGTTTTTGTCGTATCTGTGGCGCTTGTTCATTGTAAATATGTACATAAGCTTAGAAATAATTCTACATACCATGAATATATGGACCGTTTATTTTGAAAGTGGTGTAAGTCCATTTTTTTGAAAAAAATGAGATATCACGTGATTCATGCTTAATTTAATGTAAATTTTTTATGTATAACTAGTTTACGAAACAAAAGAAAATGGACTTACACCACTTTCAAAATAAACGGTCCATATAGTGAGGTTTATAGAAGGAAACTGTATAAGAAAAAAAATTTATGCTGAATTTTGACATTCCAAAGAACAAGCGCCAATCCTTAGCACAATTTGCTTATTTTTGTAGAAGCATTTTAGATTTAATGAAGTAAATACGACACCAAACGTCATAGGAGAAAGTCGGTTTACAGGTCTCTATAGTCGGTATCCAGTACCCTCTTAAGACGACCTTGCCACAACACTTTGGAGAAACGCGGGCAACAAAAAAAAAAAAAAAAGAAAAAAGATTTCACGTGCGCTGTGAAAGTAATTTTACGTTTCTTCTTCATCTCTAAAAATATTGTTTTAAAACACCATGCGCTCGCGCGGTGCAATAAATTTTTCGACATCCGGACGCGACCGCGTAAAAGTCGATATGGAAAATAATGTTCTCGTCCCGGCGCGGCGGCGTGTGGGGGGGAGGAAGCACCCCCATCGGCCGCTCGAGCAAAACGTACGGCGGCGCCTAAGACCACAATTTACACGAATATTTCCGCTCGATAAGATAGGGCTTTAATGAAGCAGAAAGCGCCGGGAGTTTAAATTAGAAAACGGCTTGAAACTTTTATGAGTCCGCGTATACTTCCGCCGCTGCGTATTTCGTTACATTACCGGTAATTTTGCACAGCGTGTGCAATTCTTTGCGGCGACTCTTCTGTCTGTTATTATATACCGAGGCGTGTGTGTGTTGAAAATCACATCCACGTCCACACTTGCATTATTCAATATATATATATATATATATACATATATATATGTGTGTATAGGCGCAACTCCCTTCCCTCCTTGATACACGGGTATAAAAAACTCTCATTCATTATGCATGCGCGCGGCGTGAATTAAAAAAGTTAATTAATATGTGTCTGCGGGAGATTAATGATGTCGCCTTTGTTGGAATATTTTCAGTTCTTTGTTGCGAGACGACGGAGAAAATTTCTCGTCGATAATTGTTTTTTTTTTTTTTTTTCAAAATGCGAATTAGAGACAATTATACTTTAAATATCTCTGAATCTCTCTGCAAAAAAATATATATATATATTATATCATTAAATTAAATACACATTTATCGATATTTATATATATATCATTGATTATGAAATATTTATTTTACCCATGTAGATTTTTCTCTCGTATGATTTTTTTTAATCGAACAAATGTTTGGTTTAAATTTATTTTGCGCGATGAGCAAAGTTTTCGCGTATATTTTTCACAAATATGAATATTATCGTGCCTCACTGCGCTTCCCCCGTTCTTCTCCGGGGACCAATTATTTGCCGACTATCAACGCGATAAAAATTGAACGTATATCAACCGGAAAAGCGAAGGAGAAGTGAATTCGAGCGCAAGAAGGTCAAAGTACAATAATGAGCTAGTCGGGACACGGATAAATTGCGCGAGTTACTTCGGGCGGTTTATCCTTCATTACTTTAATTACCAGTACGCTGGGGCGACTGCGGCGAACTTACTTACTTTACCGCTGAGCGAGGCGCACTCGAAGAATAAACGCGACTCCGCACTTCTGACTCATATATAGTCATCTTCTACCGGAGGTAGAAAATGTGCGTCGCAAAATAGTTCGGTTTAAAATACCGAACAAAATATTTGCAAGAAAAGTTGTTTTTTAGCAAAAAACAATGCAATTATATCTAGAAAATTATTATTAAATTTGTGCGATTTTTTTTCTTGGAAGAATTCGGTACTTGGGAGAGGAGAGAGAAGAAAAAAAAGAAACGACGAGACGAAAGTACAATATCCACGCGGTTGAAAACAATCGCGAAAAATCGTACCGATACAAATATGTTAACAAAGAAATGGTCGCGATTTGAGGAATATCGCCTTTCTGGTGGATCCACCAGGATGGTTTGCACCTGCGACAATTCGAAAATGATGGATATCGAGTGGAATGTCGTTCGTTCTCGCAGAGAGAGAGAGAGAGAGAGAGAAAGAAAGAGAGAATTGTTATTATGAGAGAGAAATCTAGAAATTCGTTAATTTATGATCTTTATGATCGTTACGCGGACGAGCGCAGTCGATATTTCTCGTCGAAGATGCAGTGTGACGTCGCGTTGATGGGGAACGATAAGAGGACGAAGACTGAATTTCGACGTTCTCATTATGGGCGTTATAACGAGGGCTCGTAGAAGACCCGGTGACAAAGGGGGCGTGGAACGAGATCGGCTGTGGAACAGCCGCTGTCGAAAGCCGCTCGCTGACAATGTCGGACCAACAAGAGCGGTTAGAGACTTATTCATGGCGTGTTGTGTCTCACTCAGCTGAAACTGGCAGTTGTGCTGTATATATATATATGTATATATATATATATATATATATCGTATACCGGCACATCGGCCGACCGCGTTCCGAGGACCACACGTTATTCGAATCGCGGAAATTTCCAAATCGAGCGCGTCCATTATCATAAGCTGAGCTGCAGATACACGGGATGTGTGAACAACAACGCGCGCACAGTTCGAGATAACGTGCGAAGTTACGATTTTTCTTGAATATTTGCTGATATATATATTATTTTTATTTTCAAGCGTGAACGGAGGGTTTTGGAGCTGAACTTGTTTTAAATCGCAAATTTTCTAGAGAATATATTGCAACTCTTTTATTTTGATTATATATACTTGCGGGTATATAAAGCATTGCGCTTTCGAGAGATTTGTGAGATTACTTTAAAAATTATAGCTTATATAAGTTTACCCTAAGTCTGTTTATAATTCTCACGAGATTTCCGCGAAACACGAGTTAAGAACACTTTATATGAGAGTTGCAAAACTTTTGTTTACACGATTACACCTGGCGAAGATAATTAAAGGGCAAATTGCGCGTTTCTCAAAGTCACAATATACAGGGTGTCCCGGAATTGGTGTAACATATTTTGTAGACAGATAGAAAGAGTAAAACTGAGTCAAAAAGTCCTATAGCATTTTGCTAGATTCGCAATAGTTACCGAAATTTTAATTAACAAAGATCTGCGAATAAGCATGCATCGGTCTGTCTTACGCGCTCTGTAGGACAGCCCGGCGCGCTTCGCACAATTACATTTTAATATGTATATGTTATAATGTTACACATGTTATATGTACATGTTTAATATGTATATGTTATAATGTTATATGTACATGTTATATGTATATGTTATAATGTTATATGTATATGCTGTTATATTAGCTCCTCCCATATGCTGCTACGAGTAACACCGTAAGCGCGCGAAGCGCACTGGTCTGTCTTCAGGGTTGTATTCAGGGTAAGATCTCAGTCAAAAGTTAAAAAAAAACATAGCGTAAACCGAAGCTATTTTAATATTTAGATAATAATTGTTTGCTGGAAAAGTATTATTTGTATTAAAAAATAAGTTTAAAAAACTATTTATTATACTTTTAATGACTACGAAAAAGTTTTTACGTATATTTTGTGCCATTTTATAATGTTTACTTTTGATACTTTTGAGTAGGATTATACTCTACTTGCAACATAAGATAAATGAAAAACTGGAAATGTATTAATCATAAAAGTTCGTTGAAACGTAACAATTGATGTATAAAATTACAAATATAATTGTTTTATGTATATTAAATATATATTTTTATTAATTTTAGCAAAATATAAATTTATATTTTATGTGATATTCTCGAAATGACTACTTTATCGAGTGGAATTTGTTTTCAAGATATTTATTAACAACTGCAAAAAATTTCAAAAAATTACGGCATATCTACATCTACAGTTATTTTTTAATTTATATCAGAATATCGTGAAATCCCATAAGAACTCGTGTTAAATTAAAATCGTACTAANTTTTTAACAAGACTCGCAAAGGAGCTGAAATTTTGCACAATGTTTTTTTTTTTTATATTATCTACTGACTGGCAAAATTTGAATAATCTGGCATTATCTTTTATCTTACCCTGAATATAACCTTAAGCGCGTA